CGTACGCGTGGATTTAGTTATTTACACATACTTTTTGTAGTTCAGTCAATGAAGGTTTTCACTTAAGTAGAAGTTAGTAAGTTTAGTAGAGAAGGTAAGCTGTGATGTGAATAAGAATAATTTGCTAAAGTTATCTATCTCTGTTCGACATCGTCTTGATTCGAAATAAAAATAATATACTTATCATCTCAATCGCATTTTCACAGGGATTGCAAAACCATTAGGGCAATGATTATTATTCCTATTTACTAAATAGTTATTGTATGTTTTAGTTTTTCATAATAAATAGATGGATTTTAAAAAATAGTTTCGTAATCATGTGAATCATTCCTTAGTAAAAGTTATGCATTAATCAAATACACGCTCTGTATGCAGTCGATAGTGATATTTTATTGCATTTACGCTCGTTCAAAACTATATTTTTGAAGTTTAAGGGATTGTGAAATACTCCAGTTCCGTTAATAAATAATTGGAAAATTGTGAAATACTCCAGTTCCGTTAATAAATGAATAACTATATTAATAATCCGAAAATTTTATTTTGATGTAGCGGCGAGATTCTACGGAACTTACAGCGTGTAAATATTTATTTAGAAAGCATTTTCAACGGTAGAACATGTGAAAAATTACCTTCAGTATGAACTACCTTCGAGACCACTGTTTACAAACTTTTGGTCATTTATCCTATGGCCGGCCTTCGCAGTTGATTTACCCTTGGAACACGTCATTCCAAAGTTTTGGTTTTCAATCATTCCACTGTACCCCACATATCATTACTCCACCGCAGCCTTAGTTCGCGATTTATTTGTATTAGGCTGGATCAAGTCGATAACATAACTCTTGTGTCAAATAAAAAACCCGGCGTTCAGAAGTTAAACCGTACACTAAATCAGAAAGGTTCAGTTGTTATGAAGATTGGAATCGGTGTAATAACCGTAAAAACACGCATAAACCTCATCGAAATCGCAAAGTTAACATTCAGTCGTGTATGAAAAACAGCGCTTCGCTCATCGCTTAAAAATATTTGCTCCCTTGCTAAAATACGATTGCTTTAGCGCTAATCGCTTTAGCGTAAACACGCTTTATATATTATGTTTTGACGTTCCTCTTTTTTAATTGTGTCAATAATATACAGACACCCGCAGGTCAAGTTACCCAAAACTGTATGTTAAAGCTAAAAGTCCGACAAAAAGAATCACCCCGGGACAGTCGGAGAGGGGGGGGGGGGGCAACGACCCCGGCCAGAAAACAGAAAACTTACAAGTCGAGCATGGTATCACAATCATTTAAAAACACAAGATGGAGTTGAAGCACGATAGCCGTCCAGCAAGTCCTTTAGCAGATACTGCGGATAGAGTTAACCCTCATACATCCAAAGGTGAACCATTATGTGAAAACCTCCAGGAATCCATAGACGTGTCCTGATGGCCATGGGACCATCAGGACACGTCTAAGCATTCCTAGTTTGAAAAACTCTACTTGGAAAGTGCTTGACCAAAACTTGACAATCCTGCTAGAACACCCAGGATCTAAACAAAACCTAAACAGCCAAGTAAATATTTTGCAGGACACAGTATATCGATTACATACTTCCAAGAGCGCTATCCACCACAAAATTAATACGCTGTAAAAAACAAAGAAAATACGTTTGAATCAAAAATGTGGAGAAAGAAAATACAGTAAAACCAACCACCACCAACTATCCAGGGTATTATGATCGATCCTGAAATTGTTCAAGAAGTAATTCTACACATTACTTAAAATCGCGATAATTTTAACATAGCTAAACATGATGTAGGCTTTGACAAAAACCCTTTTCAATACTCGAAACGGAAATCTTCTCTTGACCAACAAATAGATTTACGAATACATTGAAAACGCAAACGAAGTGCCTTAGCGTGGGAGACTGTATCGTACAGTGATGACGAGGATTCAAACGTCTAAAAACCTCACCTTCCTCTTATCAATTTTCAAAGTAGTCCACCTAGTCCTTACTTACACATGTTGTCTCAAATAAATATTTTCTTTATTTCTTTCTTTCTTTCTAGTCGTAGTCCACCCAGTACTACCCTAACAGATATCAACAATCAAATTAAAAAGAAAACAACCAAGTCAGTTTCAGCAAGGCAACTTTTGTCCTCATTCCAAAAAACATAAAGTAACTCATCCAGAAGATACTAGACCGATAGCACTACTCAATACAATTTCCAAAATTTTCTTTAGCATACTAAAAACAAAAATTACAAAATTTATGAACACCATTTGGTATTTTAGGCCCAACCATCAAAAAGGGTTGTTGCCCGGTATTTCTGGCTGCATGGTTTAAAAGATTTCAAAGTTTAAAAGATGCCAGAATACATGTGAGACAAATAAGAGTCTGCTGGATAGACCTAGAAAACGCATTTTTTTCGGTACAGCATGAACTAATGATCTTCATCTTGCACTGGTATAACTTTCCTTCTGTAGTCATCGACATAATCATATCATATTTCTCACAATTACAATTAGTCATAGCAGAAAACAAGGAACGCACAAACCCATTGCATTATAATGTAGGGCTGTTTCAGGACTACTGCCCGTCACCAATAGCATTTAATTAATTATAAATATTCTTAAAGACAAGCTAATAAGTCATGAGAGGCTATTGGTTTAAAATAAACAATAAATCCACAGAGTTCATCTTAGCCTTTGCAGACGGCCTCGCAATACTGACACGTAATCCTAAACAATGTCAGAAATTATTGATCGAAGTGGATGGGTACTGTGCATGGACTGACGGACTGAGGACAAACCAAGTAAGTGCTGCTATCTATGCCTGAGAAGACAAGACATCAAATATACCTCTAACGATCCCGAGCTCTCAATAGGAGGACAATGTGTTACCATGATTGCTGAAGCTGTGCCTTTCTAATTTCTAGGAAGAAAGATTGATCACAAAGGAGTAAGTCCTTTATTTTACTTTCGTGTCAAAAAAGAGCGTATGTCTGTTGCGAGATCCCTTTTGAAAGATTGATCACAAAGGAGTAAGTCCTTTATTTTACTTTCGTGTCAAAAAAGAGCGTATGTCTGTTTCGAGATCCCTTTTGTATCTTTACTCAAATTCATCAAAATCGCGGTTATAGAAAGATTTAAAATTTATAATACTGGCAAGAATGATCGAATTTTGTTGAGATAAATAAATTATTTTTACGTAATACCCCTTCCCTTTCCGTAATTTCTTCTGCCCTCAGTTCAACATAAGTGCAATAATAAAACCTGAATCCAACATTATCGAGAAAGATACATAAGATAGAGTTAAAAAATTGTGTGTGTCAGCTCCGACGCACGACCGGAGTTTACACTCAAAAAACGACTGTCTTTGAACACAAAACAAAACAAAATCAAGTCCGAAGAAAGTCGGTTATAAGTAGAGATACCTCAGGAATCGTCCCATGGTTTCGAATATCATAGGTTCCATGTCACACATTTTATCATCTAACATCAGCGATATTCATCATATATTTTATTATGTATTTCTGGAAACACAAAATTTCAAAAATATCACACACTAGTCATCATTTTGTAAGTATGTATTATAATTCCATCTGTACTGAAAATCACTATTCCAGAGTGCTGGGCACTTACCGGCATTTCTCTATATGTATTCTGTTATTTATTTGTTTTCATTAATTTTGCTCCGATTTTATCTATTTTTAGTTTATTTATTTTATTGACATTTGTGACAACTTAATGTTTTTTATCCGTTGCCATGACTAAAAGTGAAAGGTGCGCAGATGAGGTTGCGCACAAAAACGTAACGAGGTCATTAATGTCATTCATCGATAGATTTTACTCCTCACATTTTTCTCATACCGGGCCCCTTATATATGCAAATCGATTCTTAAGGAGTAAACTGCAAAAAGTTTTATATATAGCACTATATCAAAAACAAAACACAACAGAACGCAACAAACAAGTTAACCATTCCATTTAACGCCAGTTTGCTTTCAAAAGTGAGTAATTGAATTGTGGTTAGTGGAACTGTTCAATGGACCGGAAAATTTCTCAGCAAATAAATTGTATTATTATAAAGTATTTTCGTGTGAGCAAACCGATTTATTTAAGTGACAATTTAAGTAAGCGCTCATCAAAATTCTAAAGATGTAACAAATTAATAGATTTTTTTGTATAGGTACGTGTTCTTAGAACAAATACTTAAGTTTTTCATTAGGGGTGAAAACAAATAAAAAATAGTTCCTATTCCTGACGTTGGCGCTGGGGGTGACAATTTTTGTTTTTATTGTAAACTATGTATATTATTGAAGAATGTAAGAAGGTTAAGGTAATTTGGATTTAAATTTTCGACAGTTTTTGTTATTGACAAACAAAACCTTCATACCAAGCGAACCTTCTCCGTATCTGACTGAATTTCATGCATAGTATACACATATATATATAGAGTAGATCGACGGCGCAAGTAGTTAGTTTCTTCACATTGTGATCTTGATGAAAGTTAATCAACTTTTGCATAGTCTGTCATGACCACACGACGAATGACCAAAAATGTACTCTCTCGAGCTCTTCCGTTCTTTAGGAGGCACGTAAATCCGATGGTCCTGATTGCATCTGTAGTCGTTAGCACCCATCAGCCCACACTTGGTGACCGCGTAGGTCACTTATGAAGGCTTGACCCAGGTGTGGAGATATTTATAGGCTGATGATGATGATTATGAAAGTAAAAAAACACTTGTAATATTCATAATGGTACCTGGTTACTTTTTCTAATGCCCATTACAAAAACAAAAGATATCATTTTTTTGACTTTAAAAATATTATAACTATATTTTAAATGGTATTTCCCTCGTACGGATCCTTTTCACTGGGTTATTTTCACTTTCTTATTATTATTTAAAGCAAAACATTTTCTATGTGGCGATAAAAGTAAAAATTCTGGTTCATACCTACCTATAGTTTTTATAGCAGAAAACTTTTATGTGGAAAACATCATAACTCGACACTTACCGTCAAGTTTCCTCCTCGGGCCATCGTTCTTTATGTTATAGCTGCCGGAACTGGGTTTGTACGAACTGCTCGTATGATTGAACATGGCGTTTCGTCGACACACTTATGTAAAACTAACACAAAACTTCACTCAAAAAAAGGCAAGGGACGAAAAGCGGTAACTTCATTAATTAAAAACGACATATTCGCCAGTTCCGTTGTCGGTCGCAGTTTTGTATTTTCACCGCGATCAAAACGTTTCAAATATGATCAACGTGGTCTCGCGTAAAACGAATATGTCGAAACTAAAATTTACGCCACGAGCCCAGGCTGGCCGCGTTATTTTTGTTACAGCACCGCTCCCGCGTGTTTATTCAATTTTAATAAAATAAATTTGGTACGCTTCTCTCTCCGCCGTGCCGCTCAGTGGTGCGGCAGGGACTCGGTACTCCATCCGCGAAAATATTTTGTTAGCGTCGACAACTTTCCTGTGATTTTAGTGTTGTCATGTCGTTGGGTTGGCATCGGAATGCTTTACGACTGTTATATAGGTATTTATTAGTAGACTATTCGTAAAAAAAAGTATTCAGAGTTCATGACTGCTTTTGTTACTTACTTAAAGAGGGTGTATAAAAGATGTTTGTTTTTTTTTTATTTTTGGATACGGTCTTCATAGAAGCTTAAAATTATTATATTTAACAGCACTTGTTAATTGTATTTTTATAATTCAAGTTGCACCTTTGCAGCTTCGGCTCTATCTGCATTTTAAAGTGTAAAAAATTTTCAATTTCGATTTTATAATCGACATTGAAAATTTTTTATGATATGATATGAAATGAAATATGAAGCTTCCCTTTTAGGAGAGAAAGTACATAGAAAAGATTTTTTACATAACTACCAGTGGGATGTCCCCGTGAAAACAAAATAAAAAATATAAGAATAATTAAAATATGAGAAATTATATTTTAGATATACGATTAATATATAATGTAATATATAAAATTCTCGTGTCGCGGTGTTTGTGGTTAAACTCCTCCGAAACGGCTTTCCCGATTCTCATGAAATTTTGTGTGCATATTGGGTAGGTCTGAGAATCGGACAACATCTATTTTTCATCCCCCTAAATGTTAAGGGTGGTCCACCCTTGATTTTCTTTTCATGGACAAAATTTTATGTTTATTTATCATGCAAAAATACATGCAACCCTTAATTTTCATCCTTCTACCACCAACCCTTATTTTTTTATGGCTTTACGAAGTTCGCTGGGACAGCTAGTTATATATAAAAATATCAGATTTAGTTTGGGTTCCGCACACCACAGTCACTGACTCCCTGGGGCGAGCTTTTCATGATTTTGCTCTAGACTATGGTGTCTCTCAAAATTATATCGCAGCCTATTCTTCTCCCAGATAATGAGAGCCATGAACCATCCCTGTTGAATCTGCTTTTGACGACACAGCCAGATGGACTGATGGTCGATGTCCCATTAGGGTCGTTTGGTCATTGCCTGGTTCGTTCTACAGCCCCTGTTGCGTATCCTTTACGCTCACCAGCTAATCTTCTCGCAGAGTCGGGCAATATCAGTTGGCACATTGTGTTCAGTCTTCGTGAGGACTTTGCACCCTACCGTGGAAGCGGCTCTGCTTTTCTTCCAATGACCCTGACACATGTGCCGATTGTGCAAGTGACATGCTTTGATTATTTATTTACTCTCTACCTATTGAAACGCTGCGATAAAAACAAACCAGGTTTTGTACAATTATTGTGTGTAACACGCAAAAAGAAACACGCGAATATTGTTTTTTACACTCGCGAAATGTCATTATTTTTGTCCCGGTTTTATTTAAGCCACATTCCCCAAAAAAGTGGGTAAACTTAATCAAATCAAAATTAAAATATGGTTCACACAATTACAAACCATGGACGTTGCAACATCTGGAAAACGTATAAATTTATACTTGGTTATTTGAAGTAAAAAATATTCATTACAAATTTTTATTTAGTTTAACTAAAATAAAAGCCAAAATAGAATGATATTTATCAAATAGAATAATACAATTCACTTACCCAGAAAAATAAGGTTTTAACATAATGAACATAACACTTGGGCGTAATACAATAATGAAATCAACGTGGGTAGATCGAAATTTGAATCGCAACTCGCACGGTTGCATTAGCCAACCACGGATGTACATACAGTAAACGGTCTGTTTGTGATCGATTCTAGATGCGGCATGGCATGTTTGTTATTTTAACTTGGTTTTATTTTTATTTTTTTCTATTGATTTATGAAACCAACAGTCAGTCAAGCTTTAAAGTACGAGTAATATCATTAATGCCGTCTTTATTTATTTGGTTCGACATTTTACATTGGTAATTTAAACTAACTTTTTATTAATTTACTTCAGGTAGTTAGAATTATTTATATATAAAAAATACGCGTGTTATTATAGTTTATCAACGAAGTAGGTATATATTTAACAAAATCTAATTAATTTTAATTTATTTTGCCCCAATGAAAAGTAGGATATGGACATATCTGTTTATATTCTATTATGCTATTAATAGATTTACTCTAAAAATATTTTTGAGCTGCCTTTCGAAACTTATTCTTGTTTTGCATCTTTTACTTTTATTGACAGCTTATTATACTTTACTCCAACGTCATGTTCAGTGTTTTTTTTTTGCCGTAATTGGCTTGGGGGGGGGGGGGGCGTGATATTAAATGGTTTGCATTTCATACTTTAACTTTTTGTAATTGGGCTTTTTTACGAAACGTTAACGAAGTGTGAGTCTGGCCATTTAATATTTTATGTATTAAAATGCAGTAGGTATAGGTTTGCTTGATATTCATTATTTTAGTATCCTCGTAATTTTTTTGTAGATGTGCGGTAATTATAATGAAACATTTGATCAATTTATTTTGTGCAACTTGATTTTTTTCCAGATTGGTCCTAAAAGCTGTACTCCAAACTTCGATTAAGTAGTCTATGTGTAGTTTGATCAAAGAATTATTAATTAGATATTTGAATTTTCGCCGGTACCGGTTAATGACAAAAGTTTGGTGAAGATCATAGTGTTTTTCCAGTTTAAATATCGATCCAGAAGGAGACTAAGATACTTTTAAGAATTCCGTTATTAATTGTAAGTTGTACTTTATAATTCCATGTTTTATTTTTTGCTGAGAAAATAAAAAATAATGTTTTAGTTGCGTTGATTGTAAGTTTTATACGAACAAATTATACAGAAAATTTAAATCGTTCTGTACCTTTAATGTTATAGTTTTGATAGTATGGCCAAAGTAGAATAAGTTTGTGTTATCTGCGTATAATGTGATATCAGCCGTTAAACCTTTGTCTTGTATATTATTTATGAATATCGGGAAAATTAAAGGACTCAAAATAGAACCTTGGGGAACACTGAAAGTAATAAACTTAGGGGAGCTTTGTCCAATTTTAGCAATTTGCTTACGATTTTTGATACGATTAATATAGAAAGAAACAAAAAATGGACCTTTTTTCATATTATGAAGATTAAGGCTTGAATTTAGTAGTTTAATATTATTTATTTATCTTTAAAATTTGAGATATTCTACAATGCATACCTCTCTGTCGCAAAACATTTGTTTCACATTTACTTTAATTTATTATTTTATAAAAATCATCTGAGCATTAACCGTAGTTTTTGTTGGTTGCCCGAAATCTTCTCCACGACTTCTTCTTATGACATCCACTCACCGACTTTTCATTATGGGATCGTTCAGTAATCTGGAAATAGTGGACTTTATAAACACAAAAAACTAGCAACCTCCAACGGTTTAAACCTCCCTTTATTATATCTCGCCAGTTAGACAAAAATAAATTCATTCATTTCATTCATATTTTGAAATTATGTAGCAGTGGAAAACTGCTACAAAATCCGTTAGATTGCCTTGAAGTTATAATTTTCAATTTCAGGGGTGAAGACGCGATTTTTTTTTTATTGTATATAACTTTAGTTGTAACAATTAAATATAACTGTGGTTCAAACATGGTCGTAGAATGAAAACAATACCGACTACTAATAAATATAACATTACTGAAAATTTACCTTGTCCAATAATAATCGGTTTAATATTTGGTGTGGATTATAAACCACTTTGAATAGTCATTTAAAATAATGAAATGAATTGAAATATAGGAAAAAAAAAACATTTTTCTCATGTTAGTATGTATTAATTGATATGGATAGATGTAACAGGTGAGTTTTTGAACTCCATAAATTTCTCAAAACAGTGACGATATCAACACTAAAACGGTAAATATTTTGATTACGCCATACTTACCTTTTTGGGGAATTTATAATGAGACACTGACATCACTTTGAAAATGTCAAGATGGTGTCGTTAGTTTTTTACTATTATGATGATATAGTTTTTTTTATTTGTGAATAATGAGTTACTTACCTATGGTAGGTGACATTGTTGGTTGTTTTTATGCGCCCTTCATAATTTTTGGCAAACTTTTCTCGCATATCTCGGCATTTCAAAGCAATAATTTCAACACGAAATTGACATGCGTATCGCTCAGTGTTACATTGAACACTTACGTGACGGGAAACTACTTAGAGTCTAACAGTTGGCTGATATTTTTTTCAACGTTATCTGCGCGGCCACGCCAATCTAGCAGTAAATAATCAAAGGTGACATGGTACTTAAATGATTAATGATTTATAAAAATCCCAACCATAAAATATAGGTTCGGTTGTCGTAGCCGCCCTTGGTTCAATAAGGTCAGTGTAGACCCTGCACATGCTAAATAGTCGGCATATAATTCATGGCATTCGGCTAAAATGTGTCGAAATCCAAATTTAAAAGATAGAGAATTTAAAAGAGAGAGATAGATTAAGATAAGAAGGCAAGAGAGACCAAAAGAGAGAACAAAAGCAAACATATCGGAAGAATAGGTGGTGAGTGAGGAGTGGTTTTACCTCCGGGAGTCGTGCATTTTGGTCGGGTTTCCATTTCGCTGATATGTTAACCTGATTGCACTATGGATTCAGTACGAAGGACCATGCCGACATTCTAGTTAAACTCTACGTCTCCAATTAGACCTTGGACAATGGGGAAGCTACGCCTCCAATAATCCCTCATTGTTCAAGTTCTATGCCAGAAATCCGCATCACCCAGCGGGCAATTCGGCGAGTTCTTATGTAGTTGAATGTTCACTGTGGGCTTTTGGCATCTTTAGTGTGGTGGTACTCAAAATATGCGCCCTAGACCCTTACCCTCGTCTTAATACGCTTATATCGCCTTTCCAACAAACAAATCTGACCCTTCAAATTACAGGCCTATGGCGACTATATCCCTGTTCTCTAAGATGATGGAGCGCGTGATTAACAAAATCCGTTTTGGTCTACTCATTACATGAGATACATACATTAACGAACGTGCCGGATGAAGGGATCCCGGAGATATAGCAATTCAGGCTTCCGTTGTCACCCATCGACTA